TGCTTAGTTTAGCTTTTTTTTAGTTTTGTGTTTTTTATATATGTATTTGCTTGTTGTTTCTTTTGTTTCTGTTTTGCTTTTCGTTGTTTACTTCAAATATATATATACAGGGTTCGTACTGTACCTGGAAAACCTGGAAAATCAGCCAAATTTGGCTAAAGTCATGGAAAACCTAGAAAAGTCAGGGAAACTTTTTTTTTTTTTAGGTCGTCAGGGAAAAGTCAGGGAATTCTGATTGAGAAACTACTCGTTTTACAAATAAGCTATTATGTTTCTGTTGGTGCTTCCCATTTATTTTGACAATTAAAAAATACCCTACAGTGTTTCACAGGAAGGCATGTGATGGCACACCTTTACCACACATATAATATTTTATTTTTAAAAATTTGACCACGGCTTTTTAACTTTTTTAAAACTTTAATATTTTTTAATGTATTTTTATTAGGCAAAAACGCTCTTATTACTAACAATTGTTTTAAAATATTAATCAATAAAAATATTTTATTTAAATTATCTATAGTTATTATTTTATTTTTACAATAATAGTGTATGTTTCTTTTTTTTTCTTTATTAAAAAAAAAATAATTCCTTTTTTTTATTTATTATAAAAAAAAACTAATTTTTTATGATCAATTTCAATCATTTAAAACTATTTCTGTAATTTATTCTACAAACAACAGCATCTTTAACTTTAAACATTTTTGTGTCTTTAAAGCGAAAAACTTCTTTTTTTATTTTAAGTTACATAAGTTACAGAAAGTTTCAAAGATTTTCAACTTTGTTGAAAACTTTTCAAAGTTTTTATTAAAAAAGTATTGGTTTCTATAAGCATTACAATGACTATTAGATTAAAATCCTTGTGAAAATAAATTTTGAAAATAAAAAAAAGGTTTTTAAAGTTAATACAATGAAATTTGTTACAGTGCCCTATGTTATAAATATAAATCATTTTGAAATATTTTGTTTCCATTTTTAGAATTAAAATAATGAATAAAATAGAAAGAAAATGCAAATTATGCAATAAAATAAATGGCAAAATGCAAATTATGCAATAAAATAATTAAACTTTCAAACATGGGTATTCAAGCAATAAAAAGTCACGAGAAAGGAAAAAAACATGTTTCAGTTGCAAGCAATTTCTTTTGTTTTTTTAAATCATCTGCCTCTAAAAATACTAGTTCACCTAATTCAGTAGAAGAGTCTAATTTAAAGACAACTGATAGTTTCTCAACAGGACAAATGAAGCAGCAATCTTTAGAACTCGTCGTATCAAATTCTAATAAAATCTGTGCAGAAATTATGTGGGCATTGCATTGTTGCTTAAATAGAATTTCTAACAATTCAAACAAAAATGTGACAAATTTGTTTCAAGCAATGTTTCCTGACAGTGAGGTTGCTAAATCTTTTCAAATAGGACCAAATAAAGTTGGATATAGCATCACTCATGGTCTTGGGCCTTTAAAGGTTTACTTAAACAACAAATGAGCCTGACTCCTTGGCTTGTCGTATCCTTTGATGAATCCCTCAACAAAAAAACTCAAACTTGTCAAATGGATTTACTCATCCAGTATTGGAATGAGGAAAAAAATACAAGTTGAAGTGAGGTATTGGAATTCCTCATTTATGGGACATAGAACTAGTCTTGATTTGGTAAATCATTTTAATGAAAAGATAAGTAATATTAATATCAGCAAAATTTTTCAGGTCTCTATGGATGGACCCAGTGTCAACTTGAAATTTCACAGAGACATTCAAAGCAAACGTGAAGAGCACGAATTATCTAAACTTATTGACATAGGCTGATGTTCCCTACACATAATTTATGGTGCTTTCAAAACAGGAGTAGAATCAACTGATTGGGAACTTAAAAAGACATTTAAAAGCTGCTTTACCTTATTTCATGATTCTCCTGCCAGAAGAAGTGACTATCAGTATCACTGAAGATTCTGTGTTCTCGCTTTCATTTTGCGCAACCAGATGGGTTGAAGACAAAAAGGTAGCGGATAGATTAATTAACATTTGGCCATCTATTATAAAAATTGTTAATTATTGGGAGTCTCTGCCTAAAAGTAAACGACCATCTTGCAAATCATATAAGTTTGTTGTAAATGCTGTTAAAAAAGAACTTTCCCTTGTAAAATTCCAGTTTTTTAGCTACCTGACAAGCATGTTTGGACCGTTTCTGAAGCTCTATCAGACTGACGCTCCAATGTTGCCTCACATGAATGGTGATCTTGTGCAGTTGATTAGTGTATTCTTAGGATGTTCATTAAATCTGAAAATATTGAGGCTACCTCAAAACTTACCAAAGTTGATCTGCAAAATAAAAAGAACCATTTAAAACCCAGTGAAATTGATATTGGGTTTGCTGCTGAGTTATCACTATCAAAGCTCAGAAAAAATGATGCAGTTATTTTGAAGGATATGAGAGAATTTAAAATTCAATGCATGCACATTTTGATTTCAGCTGCTGAAAAGTTATTTAAAAGATGTCCCCTTGATTCCATGATTGTTAACACAAGTACTTGTTTGCTTCCAAATTTTTATGCTCAGATCACACCTGAAAAAAATAAGAATCAAATGAAAATATTGCTGCATCATCTTATTTCACTTGGAATATTAACTGCTTCTTATTCTGACAAAGTTATCAGCCAGTTCTCAAAGTTTATTTCATCAGAATTTGCTATGAATCAGGATGTTTTCATTAGTTATGTCAATATTAGTGTCAATAAGGATGTGGTTACCAATAATATATCAACAGATGGTATTGTTAAATGGCGTCTTGTGCGTGATTTCATGCTTACCAACAACCTCAACCCCCACTCTGTCTAGATTACATCAGAAATGAAAGTTGCCTTTAAATCTGCACATCAAAAATACCAGATCATGCTTGAGGAAGAGAAGTCAAAGAATAAAAAACATGCAATGTTAGATCAGAAAGCCATTATTTTGTCTGAAATTGAAGAGCTAAAATCTAAAATGGGTTTCCTTACAAAAACTTCATTGATGCTAGAAAAAGAGTTTGTCTTAACTGTGGAACAAGCGGAAAAAGAAAACAATTTATCATTGGTCAGCAAAGTGAATGCTTTAAAAAGGAAAAGTGAGGAGAAAATTAAAGACGTAGCTAAGTTGCAGGAAACATTATTGATATTAGAAGAGAAGAGAAAGAAACTGAATTAACTATAGTTGCTTTTTGACAATTTGTTTGTTTATATAAAATATTATTTATGTTGACATTTATGCAAATATGGCTAATTAAAAAACTTTAATTATATTTTCAATATAAGATTTTGCTTAAAAAATATATGCAATTTAAAATTAATTAAAAGTTTTTTTTTAATGTTTCTAAGCATGTTTTGTTATACTGTGCTATTTTTATCTGGAGGTATTATTGAATTAGCGAAGGTACAGCTACAAATAGTGATAAAAAACGACTAACCCAAAGTAGTCTTTGTTATAGACCAAGTATTGCTCAAAATGTTGAAAGATATCTACATAGACGTTTTAGTTTTTTTTTTGTTAGTGAAAAATAATTATATATAAAATATTTTATGTACATAACATTTAGATTTTTTAAGAAGCTCATCTGAAACTTCTTATTGTTTATTCTTAGTCATCCTTAATAATAAGATCCATACTAATATGCATAATAAAATCTATACTAACATCCAACTTAACTAATAGCTAAGTTTTATAAGTTTTTTCATTCTAAGCATGTACATTTTAGAAATTTCATTACAGTAGTAATTTTTAACATTTTATAAAAACCATTGCAAATGTTAAAAATGGTCAGGGAAATTCATCTGATTTTTCAAAAAAGTCAGGGAAAAGTCAGGGAAATTTTTATAAATATGTGGCTACGAACCCTGTATATACTAAAGTTTGTGTTTGATATTTTAAGTGTTTAATTTCATAAACAGAGCTTTAGAAAGTGTCCCTTTGTGTTGTGTGCGTCTTTTGAGTTTTATTATATTATATAATTTTGTCTTTATATTTCAACATTTTCTTAATTAACCTTGTGTAAGTTCTTAAAATTTGTCTATGCTTAAAAGCAGCATAAACTTTAACTTTGAAGAATCAAAATACATATCAATAATTTATTATATTCAAAATACTTATCAATAATTTATTATATTCAAAATACATATCAATAATTTATTATATTCAAAATACATATCAATAATTTATTATATTCAAAATACATATCAATAATTTATTATATTCAAAGTACATATCAATAATTTATTATATTCAAAATACATATCAATAATTTATTATATTCAAAATACATATCAATAATTTATTATATTCAAAATACATATCAATAATTTATTATATTCAAAATACATATCAATAATTTATTATATTCAAAATACATATCAATAATTTATTATATTCAAAATACATATCAATAATTTATTATATTCAAAATACATATCAATAATTTATTATATTCAAAGTACATATCAATAATTTATTATATTCAAAATACATATCAATAATTTATTATATTCAAAATACATATCAATAATTTATTATATTCAAAATACATATCAATAATTTATTATATTCAAAATACATATCAATAATTTATTATATTCAAAATACATATCAATAATTTATTATATTCAAAATACATATCAATAATTTATTATATTCAAAATACATATCAATAATTTATTATATTCAAAATACATATCAATAATTTATTATATTCAAAATACATATCAATAATTTATTATATTCAAAATACATATCAATAATTTATTATATTCAAAATACATATCAATAATTTATTATATTCAAAATACATACCAATAATTTATTATATTCAAAATACATATCAATAATTTATTATATTCAAAATACATATCAATAATTTATTATATTCAAAATACATATCAATAATTTATTATATTCTAATGGTTTTAATTATAAATAATACATGTTTTTGTTTCTTATAACTTATTTATAATTTGAAATTATAACATTTCTTTTAGTTAGATTTATATTTGGACACTAAAGATGAAAAAAATCATGTAATGCTTGCATCTATTTACAATTCTTTGGCGTTGACATATTACGAATGTAAGCTTTATGATGATGCAATGGTATACTACCAACTTGAATTGAAAATGCACAATAGTAATGAATATAATGAGGTTTATTTTATTAAATTTTGCTTTTATTAAAATAATAAAAAAGCATTAAAAAATTTTTAAAAACAATAAAATATAATTAGTTTTCTCAATTAAATTTAATGGTTTTTACATAAAATGTACTTAATTTTGTTTTTTCTTAAAACCAAAGAGTTGTTAAGAGATAATTTTTAACACAAATGGTAAATTTAAATGTCATATTGTAGGTGCATATATATATATATATATATTTTATATATATATATATATATATATATATATATATATATATATATATATATATATATATATATATATATATATATATATATATATTAGTAAAAACACTACACTTTTTCAACAAGTAGTTTGATATTGCAATATAGTAACAATAGCTGCACATACTTTAGTACATATATTAACTGAGAGTTTAAGTTTGGACTGACAGTAATTTGTATAAAGGGCATTTATTAAGACAAAAGTTTTTATACTTTTATTTTTTAAATTTTTTCCTGGTCTTTGTGAAAAACTGTCATTAAAATCAAAGTTTTAAAAAAGTGTGCAAAGTATATTAGTATAATTCCAACCTTAGGAATGATATTAATATACTTTGCGCACTTTTTTAGTTTTGATTTTAATGACAGTTTTTAAGTAGTTTTTTTTTAATTTATTACTATGCATTAGTAAATTTTAAAAAATTACAAAATATTTTCCCTACATTTTAGAAATTTGACACCTTGTACATGATTTTAAAAATATTAAAACTTGGTTGTGCACCTTTTGAAGTCTTGAAAGTATATTTAGATCTAGCAATTGATTGTGCAAGAAAAAGTGAAAAACCTAATTCTGCGGTAAGTGGTAAAATATAAATGCAAAAAATAGTTTGTTTTTTTTTAATTAAAAATCTACAAGGTTACATAACAGTTTATTAACATCACCCAATATATGATGAGGTTACTTCTTTTACATTGTAATTGTCCCCTTTGATCAAATACATTTGTATAAATTAAAGTTTTTTATTAAATTTTTTTTAAATGCTTAAAGTATAAATGATACAGTTTCTTTACCATATATATCTGATACATCTTACACCATAAACATATACACATACCATATACACTTGATATAAACATATACACATACCATATACACTTGATATAAACATATACACATACCATATACACTTGATATAAACATATACACATACCATATACATGTATTAAAAGATATAAATGTATTAAAAGATCTTTAAGAATAAAAGTTTTTAAATGCGTTCTTTAAAGTATATAAATAAAAGTTTTTAAATGCGTTTTTAAAGGCTAAAAGTTTTTAAATGCTTTAAGCTTAATTGTAACAATCAAAACTTTTAAATTTCAATTAGACCAAGATAAAATGTAAGTTGTAAAAAGTTAATTTTTTTGGTGTTTGATGTTTTTTTAAAAGCTATTTTAAATATTTTTTTTTTGAATTTTTAATTTTTTTTAATTTTTATGTATTAGTTTTTGTTTTCATTAGTTAATATTATTGCATACTATTTAGTTTTAAAATTTACTTAATGGTTACTAAACAAAGTTAAATAAAAAAAAAAAAGCTCGGAAAAAAAAGTAATGATCTTTTTAAGAGAAATATGATGAAAAATTAGTTTTCTTCATATAGATTTACCCATTAAATAAAAAACAACATTTTGATTCACATTTTTATAAAATTCCAGAGGTAGGTGGCCACTACAGTTGAGAAAGCAACTCTGTTTTTATTACTACAGTTAAGGAAGCAACTCTTCTTCAAATTTTATTAAATAAAACTCTGTTTTGTTTGAAACTCTCTATTAACTCTAAACTCTGAATTACAAACCTTGTTAAACATGACCACTGCACAAACAAACATGGTCACTGAGTGTCATACCGCTGGAGGTGCAGGACTCTAACCCCTCGATTGTAAACCAAAAGTTGCACACCAGTTGCCAGCCTACACTAGTTCTACACCAGCCACCACTGCCACACCAGTCTACCATCAAGAATCACCACCAGCACACCAGTCTACCATCACAACTCACCACTGGCACACCAGTCTACCATCACGACTCACCACTGGCACACTAGTCTACTACCGCTAGAAGATAGAATGACTGTCATTTTTAAGAATTTTTTATTATGCTTATGTCATAAATCAAATACATTAATAAAAAACTTATTATAATTTTTAATATCAGTTAATTTTTTTAAAAAACTATTGTTTAGTTTTTTTAGTTTACTATTGGTTAGTTTTTTTTATTAGTTGATTATGTTTTGATTAATTGTTTTTCTTTTAAAAATAAAGTTGTATTTTTGTTTATAAATGTTTCCATTTTCTAAAAGATTTTTTTAAATTTATGTTATTATCTTTTTTACATTATTAAACACTGAACTACCAACAATTAGATGTTCAAAAAAATTGAATTATTAATTAATAGTTTTAATACATTAAGTTATGTTGAAAATTTATGTTTATTAAATTGTTTAAAAAATTTGACTTTTTTGACTCAGTAAAAGTTAAATCTCTGTGAAAAGACTTGATTGTGTAATGATTCACAATAGACTAATTTTTGATTGAGCAAGTTATGATTATTATTTGAGTAGCAACAATGGAAGTTGAAAAGTGATAAAACCAATGATGACAAAGGGTCAAATTTGACTTGATAAGACAAGGATTTCCTTAAGTAAATTAGAAGATATGAGAGGTTATGTTCAGAGTTCAAATTGAAGGAAGATTTTTGACTTATATAATAGATGATAATAAGATTTCTTTTAGTTAAAATTTACCAGCCAATCCTATAATTCTTAAACATGCTGAAATAAAATGTCTTTTTTTAATAAGTTTATAAAAGATTTTTCTAGACAAAATTATGATTGGCATTAGAAATAGGATTACGCCAGAAAGCAATAATCACAAAATAATAAAAAGAATGAATGCTTGGTTGTTTGTTTAATGAATGTTATAAAAAGTATTTTAGTCAAATCATTTTTTGTTTAATCAATTTAGGTCCAATCATGTAATTTAGTGCAATCAAATAGTTCTCTTAATTAAAAGAGGTTCTAAAATAGAATTAAAAAGAACTAAATACAGATCAGTTAGAAGACGATAAATTTAAAATTTTGAAAATTATAAGAAAACATCAAATAATATCTTTAAATTATTAAGTTTTTTTTTTTTTTTTTTTTTAGATTTTATCATTCTTTTTTTCAGATGATGGATGCCTACAAACGTTTTTCTGATGATATTTTATGTTGCAAAACTCAAGAAGAATACAACTATTTAAAAAAAAAGATTGAGACATGTATTGATGAAGTTGATGAAGAATCTGAAAGATCTAGTGATTGTGGTGATGGTCTTTTCTTAAATGAAGAGGAGAAACTATTTATTGAACATGGTAAAGTTGTTATATATTGTTTAAACCATTATTTGTTTAAATTGCTTATTAAAACGTTTTTCATTTGAATTATTTAAATATTTTTTATAAAATGCGTCTATAGGTCAATATTATGTGATTAATTAAGTAATAAATGGTTAGTTAGCTAATGATATAACAAAAGTTTATTAGTGCTCCAGGTTGGTTTTTATAATTTTCTTGCAAAAAAATTGTATTAGATTGTTATATTAATAAGTATATTTTATTACATATTATATTTACAATTTAAATAATACAGGTAGGTGTGAAATTTGTTGTGACATTTTAAATAACTGATATTTTATATAAGTAAATTTTAAGTAACTGAGTGTATAAAGAAAAAAGTTTTTAAAATATCCTTGTCATTATCAAATGATAACGATCTTTTTAAAAGATCGTTGTCATTTGATGAAAAAGTTTGAAGATTTTATTTACTTAAGCTTTTTTTATTTTTACAAACTCTTTTGTATATTTTAATAGTAAAATTTTAAATAAATTATAAACTTATAAATTTTAAATATATTATAAACTTATTTTGTAAATTATAAACTTAGCTCCCAGCTCGCTTTTACTCTTTACCTTTAAAATTGAATCAGATGCCAACAGATATCACTATGCCAACAGATATCACTATGCCAACAGATATCACTATGCCAACAGATATCACTATGCCAACAGATATCACTCTGCCAACAGATATCACTCTGCCAACAGATATCACTCTGCCAACAGATATCACTCTGCCAACAGATATCACTCTGCCAACAGATATCACTCTGCCAACAGATATCACTCTGCCAACAGATATCACTCTGCCAACAGATATCACTCTGCCAACAGATATCACTCTGCCAACAGATATCACTCTGCCAACAGATATCACTCTGCCAACAGATATCACTCTGCCAACAGATATCACTCTGCCAACAGATATCACTCTGCCAACAGATATCACTCTGCCAACAGATATCACTCTGCCAACAGATATCACTCTGCCAACAGATATCACTCTGCCAACAGATATCACTCTGCCAACAGATATCACTCTGCCAACAGATATCACTCTGCCAACAGATATCACTCTGCCAACAGACATCACTCTGCCAACATTTAACAAATTTAAATGCTTTTTCAGAAAATTGTTTTCGCATCCTTCATGAATTTGATAAATTTTGAAATTTTTAAACTTAAGAATTTTTTTCTTAAATTTTATTTAAAGAATAAAAATATTTTTTTTATTATCTATATGTATAGTATTTATAAATAAATACTAAATAAAATACTTAAATCTTTTAATCACACTATTTTAAGAGTGTGGAGGTTTAGAAAATGAGGAAGAACTAGTTGAAAAAAATTCAAGAAGCACTAAAAGAAAAGCAAAATCAAAGGTTTGAAAAAACTTTTTCTTTTAGTTAAATATTTAATATAATTTTATATATAATATATTATATGATGTTATTATTTATTAGTAACTATTGTATCTTTAAAGTAATCGTAAACCGTGACTGTTAAAGAGATAATTGTAAAACCTAGTTTGTAATATAATTGATGTAACTATAAATCTAATATAACTAGAAAGCTGACTGTGGTTGACTGACATAACTGTAAATCTGACTGTGGCTTAACTGAACTTAGTCTTATTAAGATTGGCATAACTGACCCTGCATTGGATTGCTGTTTAATTGAAAATTAGGTTACTATTATAGTATTTGTTTATAGTGTGCATAGAGTCGGATTTACACCCTTTGGGGCTCTCGACCAAATCCCCTTTTGGGGGCTTTTTTCAAAAAAGTGTAGAATTTTCCTGTGTCAATTTTTTATTTTACTACATAAAAAAACAAATTGCATAAGTATACTGACAGCATAAGAGTAAACTTTAACAATTTTTCAACTTTTTTTTTTCTTGACAAAATTTATCGATTAGAGAATCCGTATCCAGAAGTTTTTAAATTTGATAAATTATTCAAAGTTTCTTGGTTTATATTTGATCTCAAAAATTTTGATCTCAAAAAACCTTTGATCAATTTAAGTTTTAAAAAATTCATTAACCAGGACAATTTGTTATAATAAAGCATAAAAAGACTCTTAAAATTTGAGAGTCTTTTTATGCTTTATTATAACAAATGCAATTTTTACGCTTTATTATAGATTTCGTCTCAAGATTCGGAAATTTCTAAATTTTTTTCTTTTATCAGTTTATAAATGAATAAGTGAGTCATAGTTGTTTGTTGATATTTTGTTTTGATAAAGTCATGAAATTGCAAAATTTTATCAAAGAATGACATTTTGATATCTTCATGACATTGTTCAACAATTTCTTCAACATTTTTCTTCAGTTTGCATTGTCGATGTTTTTCATTAATCAAAAATCCAAAAGTTGTGTTACATTCTTGATAAATAATCATGCTTTTATTCAAATTTGAGTAAATTACTTAGACGGCTTTGATAAAAATGTCTTTCTGAAACTTTTTGACTTATTACAATACATTTTTCATGGTTTGGATCATCAAAGAATTTTTTCTTTGTTGGATGTTTTCTATGTGAACATTCTGTATAAAGAAGTAAAATTTCAGCTTCAGCTTCAAAATCGTTGTCTTTCAAATTCTGAATGTGAAATTCAAATTCTGCCAGCAAAGACAGAAATAAATAACATGTATCTAATGTTATTTTTGGATCTTGCTAAGCTTTTGATACTGAGTTTATACTTTTTAGAAATCCCAGAAAACTGTTTGTACTGCGAATTCAAGTTCTTCCATTTTTTATATAATATTTTGTGCTTTTCTAGCAATTAATTCAAAATTTTGATCTTCTAAAAAATCCATGAAAGAACTCAAAATACTTTCAAAACAGAACTTGATTACTTTCACTGAATCTGATCTTGCTTGCATATCATCTTGTTCTTGAAAGTGGTTTGACAATATGGGGTGAGTTTTTTTCAAGAACTCTTAATCTTTTTGCTGATGATGCCAAAATTTCTGGAATGATGCTAAAATAATTTATAGTTTCTAGGAAAACATTAGCTCCAGAAGATCCAACCAAGTTTAAAGAATGCTCAGCACACGGAAAATATTTTGCAAGATTTTTTTCTAAAATTTTTACTTGCATTCCTTTATATTTTCCTTACATATTAGAAGCGTTATTGTATGACTGAGATATGCAGTCTGAAAAATTGGTTCTAATTTTATTCAAGAAGTTTACTGTAGAAAGTTATATCTATAACTTTCAATTTGTATAAATTTTAATAATTGTTCAATTGGTAGGTGAGATTTTTCATGCACTTATCTTAAAACAACACAATGTTGATTGTGATAAGATAAGTCAGGTGCAATGCCTGCCAAAACGACTAAAAATCCATTTATTTATGTGTAATTAGCTGTACATTGAATTATGGGGTGTCTTGCAAGACCATATTAAAAGCATAAATTTACTATACATCTTTGTTTTTTGCTAAATATATGATATACTATAATATTATTAGATTTCGCTTTTTAAGAATTAAGTTGCTTTTTCTATAACTCACAATATTAAATATGCCAGCCTTTTATTCAGCCATCAGTTGTGTAAACAAGTGTGGAAAGAATATTGGAAAAATATATCTTTTTTTAGATTTCCAAAGGATAAAAATAGGTAAGTAATTCTTAAATCAAATATATTAAATAACAAGTAAATCAAGAATTTAAAAAACTTTTAAAACACTGTTTTATTTTAAATTTTATGAAACAAAAAATATTTATACATAATATGATGTAAATAATTCAACTAAATTAATTAGGTTTAACCTATTATTTAGATGCAAGCCTTGGGTTTGTAATTATCGTTGTCAAGATCTCGATACATTATCATGTGAAGAACTTAATCTTAACTATATTATTTGTAGTAAACATTTTGATTCTTCCCAATACTATCTTGCCAATAATGGTAGTAAAACAGCACTTGTAACTGCTGTACCAACAATTTTTAACTTTCCAAATCAACCTTCTACATTAAATTTAAAGACAAAACAGCCTACAAACAGACTTAATTTACAAGATAAAATACAAAAAAAAAAGAAATCCAATTAAATAAAATAGTGTTGAGAATAGTATTACAAATAATGTAACTATCAAAAATACTTTTAAAAATAACAATGACAAGATCATTGGAATTCAATCTAATGCCAAACCAGTAAACCAAGTACTTGTATTGATGGTCCGCAGATTATGAACAAAATGGAAACAACCAATTGCATATTTTTACAGTAATACTACTATGTGTTCAACCAACTTAGCTAAGATAATGCTATGATTCATCTACATAAAATAGGTTTAGCTGTATGATGTCTTGTTTGTGATCAAAGCTTGGGTAATATAAGAGCTCTAAAATTTTAAAGGATTTTCATTATTAAATCAACAAATTTCACACCCAAATACAGGAGCAAAAGTTTATATAATATTTGATCCATCACATTTTATAAAAATTTTTAGAAACAATTTAATAAAACATGACATTTTATCTGATGGAAAAGTAATATTGTTGAAGCATCTGGAAGAACTTTATAATTTAGACAAGGTTAATAATAGTGTCACTCTGCCACTATTTATTTTGAATTATTTCTTACTTTATCTACCTTTATTTCATTAGGGTAATTATCAAATTATTTCGCGGGAATCGACAATTTGAATTAATTTATTTAAACAAGGAGATTAGCAGAGGATGAAGTTAATGTGGATGAAACTAATGTAATCCCTGCAAACATTGTTTTATTGAATTTGCACTGGACGTATATAGACATTTTTTAGCGGTTTATTGGAGTTTGGCTCATCGGTTGCTTAGTGGAACATTAGTGGCAACCGTTAAAAATGGCAAGACGAAAATTCTCTGACATTTTAATAGTGGAAAGTCATTGGCTAGCCACTTTTAGCGGCTACCACCAATGGCCCAGCAAAACGACAGCGGTCCGCTCAAAATACCTATATAGGTCCACTGAAAACCCTCTATATCATGTTTGCTGGGTAATAGACTTGGTCAGGAAAGGCATGTAATCGTGCTCTGTTCCTGACCAGGCATGTAATGTTTGAGAACATTTTATTTTTTGTTTGTTTCCATCTATGTCCACATAACTATTAGTTTTTAAAATACACGCTAAAAGAATTAACTTTATATTTTTATTCTTTATTTTATTCAAATTTAAATATTTAACAAATTATTAGAAAATTTTATTAATTTAATTATAATAATTTAACTAATTTCACTTTATTTTGGGGCCCCAAAAATTGCAGGGCTCTAGGTTGTGAGCCTAGATGGTCTATAGGGAAATCCGGGACTGAGTTTACTTGTAACATTTTCCAAAAAAAAATCTAGTTTGTAAACTCTTAGAAACATAAATATCTTAGACCTTAAGAAATTTGGAGTGACCTTAAGAAAACAATAAATTCTCTAATAACCCTGAAAAACACAAACCTTGATGAACTAATGGCTTGATGAACTTAATGGCTTAATTTTTCATTTTTTTCTTATTCATTACCTCTTAAGTTATTTCGGTGACTAGTATCTTCAACTTAAACCTTTAATTTTTTTTTATTTTTTTTTATTTTTTTAGGTTGTTATTAATTAAATCCAACAGATTTTTTTAGATCACTTACTTCATTTTCTTACATCATTATTGTACATTCTTTTCTTGATAATTCAACTGATAATTCAACTTCAAGTTTATCAGTTTGTCGCTAAACAGTTTCAATATAGTTTTTTTTATTTGCATCTCTTTTTAATGCAAGATTGTAATTCTTTTATTAGCCATAATTTTGTGCTCAAAAAAAATAAAACACACTTAAGTCAGCAGAAAAGAAAAATATAAAAATTTTGACTTTTACTGTTCCAAAATTTCATAGGGTAACATTCTGGCTATTAAGAGTCCAATGTGTTACCCTATAACGTTTGTTTCAGCCATTAAAAAAGTTAAAATGACATCACACATTGAGCAAAAAAAAAAAATTAAAATTCATTAACTTTGAAGTAAATGTCATTTTTAATTAAAAAGAATATAAAAGATCTATGTTTCCTACTTAAAGAAATGTATAAATTAAGTGAAATAAAAATAAATATAGCCAAAATATTGTTACTGGTTTGGGATCGCCTTTCTTTTTTTTTGCTATTTTTTCTATTTTAATGAAAAACCTGTAATGAACCAACTTTGGTAAACTATCTTCATGCTTTTTGATTGAAATTTGGAACAATTATTGTCTATTTAATTTAATTTTTAATGCTTGCTAAATTTTTAAAAATTTATTTCTAATTTTACTACTTTTTTTATGCAGGACAAAATACTTTTGTAATTTAAATTAGTTATGTGTTATTTTTAAATAGTTTATAAAATTGAATCAAATCAATAATTGGCCTTTCTGTAATCTTTTTTGTTTTTTGTTTTTTTTTGTATGTGTGTTTTTTCCTTTTAAAGAACTTATATCTTAAGTATTTTCAAATTTGTATTATTTTTAGTTTTTACCCCTTCTAAATATTTTTAAAATTTTGCAATTTTGTAATCTGATTTTGATAGTTTCTGTTTCAGTTTATTTTTTATTCAATTTATTTTTTTTTATTTGATTTATTTTATTTGATTTTTGTTTAGTTTATTTTTATTCAAACAAAGTTTTTTTTGGTTTAAAATTGGTCTAACAATGTTTATGCTAAATTATAATTATTATAAATATGTTTTCTGTATATTTTGCTATAAAGTAACATTAAATTATTGAAATTCAGCTAAGTTTGTCATTCTCTGGATTTATTTGAAAATCCAAAGTTTTGACTGTTTAATTAAATGTTAAAAAATGTTTTGTTTTTTTTTTTACAGAACAAAATTATTAAAACTATTTCAAAAGTTACATGAGTTTTAGTTGCAAACTTTTAGTGGATATTTTCATAAATTACAAGTCATATGTTTACTGTGAAACAGCTATATTTACTGAACTATTACACTTAATTTAACTTTTGACTGCAAATTTTAACATATTGACATAATGGAGACAATAATGATATGTAAATATCAGAAAAATCAATGTTGTTGTCACACCAGAAGATGCTTGAAATAAGTGAAATAACCCTAAAATAAATTAGTAATTTAAAAATTGATAATTACAAAATCGATTGAGAAATTTTTTTAGGCTCATTAAGATGTTTATGCAGTGGTTATTGGTTCATGTTTTTTATTTTGCCTTTTTCCCTTTAACAAATTCAAAATAAATAAAAATGTCAACAGAAACTGTTTGCAGATTCTTTAAGAATTTTATGAATATGTTACAAATTTGTTTAAACTAAAACCCAAGCTGCTGGTCTTGTCTTCAATCCGACCTGCTTGATTCAATCCGTTGTTTTAATTTTTTCTTGCTGCTTAAATTGCACAAGATTTTTAATCAATTTTTAACCAATTGTTTTTCATCTTAATTGTCATACTTTCATCTTAATTGTCATACTTTCATCTTAATTGTCATACTTTCATCTTAATTGTCATACTTTCATCTTAATTGTCATACTTTCATCTTAATTGTCATACTTTCATCTTAATTGTCATACTTTCATCTTAATTGTCATACTTTCATCTTAATTGTCATACTTTCATCTTAATTGTCATACTTTCATCTTAATTGTCATACTTTCATCTTAATTGTCATACTTTCATCTTAATTGTCATACTTTCATTTTAACCAATTTCATCTTGTCCATGCTAAAGGGAAAAACTGAACAATTTTGTAAAAGTTATAAAATTAGAATATTGAATTATTGAACTATTAAAAATTATTAATTAAAAATTATTTCAGCTTCAATATTTTTAAAGCTATAAATTTATATTTATAAACCTACTATGGGAAATAGAACCACTCCAATGCATAGTTTAAATCCTCTGGAAGCGATGTATTAGAAGTAAAATATTGTTTAAAAATAGATTTAAAGTGAAAAAACAAAATAAATAGAAAAGAAAAGTATTTTAAAAGTCTTGAATTAAGTTCCGCAACAACTTTTATCAAACCCTACTCATTTGAAGCATCAGTGAATATGTTAATTTGATATTGTTACCAATACTTTACAAAATTTTCTATGGATTGACTCTCCAGCTGTTTAGATAGTAACCCTAGTTTATTATCTTATTTCAGTTCATTAAGACATGATTTAATGTGTTCAAGAATTGTGTATCAGACAGATAGATCTTTTGAGAGTCTCAGATCTTAGAACTTGGAATCCTAAATTAATTTAAGTAGGTAGATATATATAGAAATTTATTTAAAACAAAAATGTTTAATTGAACCTGTCATAATATTTTCTTAAATCACCATATTTTAATAAAAGACTTGAAAAAACGAATGCAGAAATACAATCAAAAAACAAAATAATTAAAATATCTTTTATCTATTGGAATGTGCAATGTATTATTTCATATTACAAATCCTTTTATAAAGCAAACCAGACATACTTGAGCACAATTATTAGTGTGTGATAAAATCTTGTTAGGCATTGTGACAATAGATTTGGACAACAAATATTTATGCGCTACTGCAAGTCTGGCTTTTTACAGAAATGACAAATGCAAAATTATGAACATTAAAAACAAAAGTTGATTTTTTTTTCTTTCCTAAAGCCATAAGTTTTTATTATTATTTTATCTTGACTGGAAGCCAAGAAAACAATTTGGAAACTTTGTTTTGAAAATAAAGTAAATAAATATTTTCTGCATTTTAGGATTATGAAGGAAAGGTTATATATACTGTCTGATAGCAATAAATTTCTTGCACGTCGAAAAATATTCTTAAAAATTTGTAAAAATCATCCCCATGCATATACCTAGTACAAAAATTTTGTGAGAGAATTTTTTTTTACCTTGACGGTAATTCCATGCCTCTGTGTGTGTTATAATACTGATTTCAAAAGTATAATAAGTACTAGGTAAAAAGTAAAAATGAAGTTTATTTATTTACAAAATCTTTTACAAACTCATTCTCTGATTCCAGAGCTGGCTTAGGGGAAGATGGATAAATCTTACAAATGTTAAAATCACAAAATGAAGCAAAAACTACTTTTTTTTTATAATTATATTATATTTTTTATATCTTTATGACTAATGTAATGAAAAAAATAAAAAATTAAAACACTTAACAAAACAAATTATTTAACACTGCTATTAGTTTTATTTTCAAAATATATGCAAGTGTATAAAAAAACTTTACAGGTCAAAAATATATGCATATATGTATGAAAAAACTTCACAGGTCAAAAATAAAAAAATTTGATATCAAATTATTAGTTAAATTCATTAAACTTAATAATAGTAAACAACAATAACTCTATCTTTTTTTAAAATAATATTTTTATTCTGCATTGAACCATTTATACTAATCATTTTAAGACCATAGTGATGTTTGTCTAAATAAAGTTTTTTTAACATATGCATTATTGTCTAAATATTATTAAAAATAATGATAATAATAATAACAATACTAACAATAATAAAGATAATAATATTAACGTTTATTAATGTATATATAAATAAAAACCTGCACATCTGTTTTTTAAAAGCTTTAAAAGAGATATTGAAAGAGATATTGAAACTGATATTGATCACACATTCTCTCTCTCTCTCTCTCTCTCTCTCTCTCTCTCTCTCTCTCTCTCTCTCTCTCTCTCTTGTAGATCTAATCCTTGAAGTCATTGTGGTTTAATATAGCAATATGGGCAATCATTTGTTGATGATGTCTGCAGATTATTTAATGCCATTTTTTTTTTAAAATCTGTGTTGTACAAATAAAAAATGAATGTTGTCTAACCTTATTAGGTTGAACCTTTCATCAAAACAGTAGCTTTATGTTTTCATCTTCTTCTTTAATTTGAGGTGGTATACAAAGTATTATCAATCTGTAAACTCCTGTTAGCTTTCCTATTTTGTTAGCTGTACCTCAAAATACAAAGATCTTTTTTTTTATTAGGAATGTCCTCTGCGTTTTATATTTTCAGTTTCATTTTTAGTCTATTTTTGATATAGTTCTGGGTAATAGCTCTCTAGTATAATTGTTGCACTAAATGTTAGAAAACCCTGACCTTCATAAGTGAGTAACTAAATGTAAAAAGCAAATAAAAAAAATAGCTATCAAATAAATTATATTATAATTATAGAATAAGCTAAACTATAATTGTGAAACTTAAAATTTTATTTGTTTTAGCTTTGTTGTTAATTATTATTTGTTATATATTGGTTGAATTTTGAATATTTTATCATAAAATCTATTGTTGTACATATTTTGTCATAAAATCTGTTGTTGTACAAATGGATTGTTTGAAAGTAGTTTAAAAATCTTGAATAAGCAGGATTTTTTTTTAACAGATTTGTGACTACAAACAAAATTCTGCAAACAGTTTTTGTTGACATTTTCATCGATCTTGAATTGATGTTGAACACCAGTAAAAGTTAAAACAGTGTGTTTGGTTCACAGTTTTAGTTAAAAATTTTATAACTTTTTTTCTTATGTATAGGCTATAAATGGAGAAGTATTTAATAAAGAAATTATTTTTTTTAGGTAGTATTTAGGTAGTAACAGCTTGAAAATAACATTCAAAATTTGTTCAAAACATTTAAAAGACATTCAAAAATATTTTTTTTAATGTTTTAAACATCTTTTGAATGTTCAAAATCCCGTTACATTTTTTATTTAAAAGTGTTTTTATAGGTTAACCATATTAATGCTCTTGGTGAAACACCTCTTCATATTGCTGCCATTGCAGGTAACACTGGGCGAGTGACACTTCTTTTACAACAGGTATATTTTTAATGACTATTTTGTTTTGTAAATCATAAGCACATATGTTTATGTTGAAAATATGTTTTTAGGGTGCATCTGTTCATGCGCGAGATGCGTCTGGGTGGCAACCTATTCATGAGGCATGCAATCATGGGTTTGTTGGTAAATGTTATTTTTTATGTTGTGTGAAAATTTTAAATAAATTTATTTTGAAAACAAGTGAAGAGACTTTTTTTTTCAATTCTATTTTTATAATTAAACTTAAACTAGAAGAGGAAGTTGTTGTCATATAAGTAAACAAGATTTTTTTTTTTACTTATTTGGTGAAGATAAATTACTTACAAGACATAAAAATTCTTGTAAGTTACAAAATTACTGTTTGTCATTAACCAATGTACTTTATATGTCTTCATATAGATACAAAAAATTGTAATCAAATAAATGATTTAGGGAAGCATAATCTCATTTTCGGCCTTTATTTAAAAAAAACTTTTCACTTTTTTTTTTATGAAATTAAGTAAAATATTGCCAGTTATTATGTACAGTTACAAAATGCGACTATATATATACGATGTATTATATGTTTGTGTTTAGGTTTTTGATTATATAAACTTAATTCATTATTATAATTACAACTTTATATGTATTATAGCTTTTTGATTATATAACCTTAATTCATTATTACAATAACCAAAAAAAATTTTGCTCTGAAAAAAAAATTAAGACTAGTTTATAGTAAAATATTTTTAACTACTAAAAATTTTTAACAAGAGAAGCAATATTTAAATGAAAAAGAGAAAAATTATTTTTGGTTTGTATTTTTTTGGTTGCCTATATTGGTTCTGTATTTTTTTCCTATTGGTTCTGTATTTTTTTCTATAACTGCAATTATTTTTAAATCATCAGCATATTGCTTTTGTTCAATTTTTTTGTATTAAAAATAAAGATCCTAAAACCAATCCTTGTTTATTCAAGTTTGATTGATAAGAATTATTTTATTTTTATGAAGATTAATTTAATCCAAAATTATCAAGATTGATTTAGATTGTTTAGTTGAAATAAAATACAACATTCATTTAATAGCATTCTTTTATTTGATGTTATAAGGTTTAATGTTTTACAACCAGATATAAAGTTTAAATGATTCTAATAAAATTGATGTTTTGAAAAATTGTGTTGATAAACGAATAACAAATTTAATTACATTTTTTTATTATTTTTCTCATTATTTGTAAAATTTGACTACAATTTTTATTATTTTTTCTTTTGTTTCTTTTTTTTATGTGACTGTTTGTAATGTTTATTAAATAATTTTAATTTATAATTTTATTTTTAATCTTTAAGATATTGTTGAACTGTTAATACTGAATGGAGCTGATGTCAATGATCCTGGTGGAAAGCATTGTGGTGGCACGACACCTCTTCATGATGCTTCTCAGAATGGGCATTTAAATGTTGTGAAGCTACTTTTAGCACATGGTGCATCACCTCAAACTAGAAACACCGAAGTAGTTTTTTTTTTTTTTTAATATTAAAAACTAAATGTTAAAAACTAGAGTAAAGAAAATATTTTTTTGTTGCAAAAGAGGTTTTAAACAGTTTAAATTTTTAAATATGATTATATAATATGATTTAGGGTAAATGATATGATGTAGGGTAGTTAATATCAATAGGGTAAATGCTTTTCTTTCTTTTTTTTGATAGGGTAAAACTCCACTTGAAGTTGTACGTGAACTTATAAAAGCAGATAAAGAAGAATTTCGTGAGAATACAAATGATAAAGATCTTTATATCATGCGTATTAAAGTAGAGGAATATTTATCACAAATATCAGATGTCTCAATTGATTGGAAAAAACATAGAAACAGTGTTATAGTTAATGAAACAAATGAAAGTAAATACAAGCAAAACAAGACATTAGAAAATGATAATATAGCTCCTTATAAAAAAAGAAAACTAAAGAGTGGACTTCCATTAGACTTAATAACACATGAATCTCCTTTTGAAGAAGTTATTGCAGAAAGTAGTTCAACAACATCTTCCACTGTTAGTTTAAGTGAAGATATTTCTGATTTAGAATCACTTTATTCTGATGCGGATCCTTTAGAAGATATAAGTGAAAACTGTCATGAACCTGACTCTCCTATTGTCTCTAATATCATTTACAAGGAACCGACCAAAATATTTAAAAAATCAACTGAAGTACCAGCCAAAATACTCAAAAATCAGGATAACTTACAAAGCTTTAAAAAAAAAACTTCTTTAAAAGCAAAAAGATATCGTCAATCAAAAATTAGCGTATTGCATACTCCAAAAGAAAATCTTGATATTTTTGATTGCAACATAATCAGAAAAAAAAGTGGTCATCACAATACAACCAAAGCAAAACAACATCATCTTGATAGTTTTGTCGTGAAGTCTGTAAATGATGTTCATATAGTAAACAAACATTTGGAAACTCAACTACCCGAACTACGAAATGATTCACTTAACTTTAAGCAAAATTTATTTCGAGTTAAGGTTCATGTGAATACTACATGCTTTTTAATTCCATGTTCTAATAATGTTGATGAGAATGTCAGTTGGCTGATTGAAAAGGTTTCTAAGTTTGCTTTGATTATATATATATATATCAAACAATAAGCACAACATATATATATATATATATATATATATATATATATATATATATATATATATATATATATATATATATATATCTGTGTGTGCGTGTGTGTGATTTTATTTTTTTTAATGGTTTTTGTTAAGGTAATTGTGAGCCTGGTATAACCTAAATACTCTTTCTCTATTTTTTTGAATAAAGTTTTATAAATAGGATCATGGAGAAAACTTTGATAAATTTTTAGTCTAATTAGTTGTTTTTAAAGATTACACTCTAAACTCTTTTGCTCTGTTTTACTATTTCAGCTTGTTGTGCTTATTTTCATTTTTTTTTATTTGCTCTGTATTGGTTTTGTTTTGTTTCTTTATTCTCCATGTTAATTAAATTTCGTTTTTGGTTTGTATTTTTAAATTACTTTCCATTTTGTTCTGTCTTTGTTTCGGGGATACTCATATTAACAACTTTTAAAGTCATTGATATGACTATCCTTGTGACAGTTCCTAAATGCTCCAAAAATTCTTTTTTGTCTAGTTTTTTTCCTTGAACATCAGTTCTTTGGAATTCGCTCCTTCTTGTTTTCCTGATTCATATAATTTGCAACCTTTTAAAGTCATCTATTAATAATTATCCAGTAACTTCCAACTCTGATAGTTGTTACTTGCAACCTTGTTGGAAGTGAAGATGTTTAAAAAATATTTTTAGGTTGAGTCTCGGTATCGTGCAGCATGCGGAATTTACGCACGACTAGCTCTTAAAACTAAAGATGGTGCTTTATTAAATGAAAATGATGTCATAATGGATATTATAGTAAATAATGAAGAATTGGTTGGTGAAATACTTCATCTTGATTTTCCTCCGTTAAAAGAAAGATTTTTATTAGCTTGTGAAGACAAAAAAATAGGTTTTTCATTTTTTAAAAGTTCATCATTCCTTTTTATAAATCAAATTTTTTTCAATTATATAAATATTTATGATAAATAAATAGTTTTAACAAATTTTACAAAAATTTTATTTTAAATTTAAATTTAAAGATTTTTTTTTTTTAATTTTAATTATCTTGAAAAAAACTTTGTTTAGCCGTAAATGATGAGCTACTTGAAGTATTAACTAATGGCGTCTCTTGTCTGAAATTAAGTGACATGTTTCTTGAAGACAATGATGTGTTTGTATTATCTATTTGTTTACCTTGCAACTTGAATATAACAGTACTAGATATATCCAAAACTTTGTTAGGTAAAAGTTATTTTCTTTTTTTTAATTTTAAGTTATTAATATTATTTTTATATTGATGATGATAGTAGATGATGATGATTGATGATTAATGATTGATTATAAGTGTTATACTTATAATCAATCATTATGGTTATACATGTATAATTATGTACCTATATTCTATATATGTATAATAAAAATTTTATATTAAAGTTTTTATGGGGTTATGGTTTTTACTCCATATAAGTATGTTTGTGTATGTTTATAAATAATGAAGAGTTTTTAAGATTAAAATACCAATGTTTTTAAATTAAATTATTTTAGGAGATGAAAACTTCAAAATCCTTGTTAATGTGTTGATCACCTTGCCGAATCTATCTTCTCTTGATATCTCTAATGTTAACATTACAGCAGTTGGTTTATGTTATTTTTCTGAGCATTTAGATGAAAAAATAAAAAAAGAGTATCTATTGTACAATAAGGTAAAAATTTGAAATAAGGTTCTTTTATCACTTGAAATCAATTTTTAAAATATTTTAAATTGGTAATCTAAACAGCAATAATAATGACTGAAATATTAAATAAATAAAATTTTAAACTAAATAATATAGCAGTAATAAACATAACTGAAATAGCAAGATTTATTGGACAACCGTTGGAGAGGTCAACGCGAACACTAGTTTTTCAAAATAAGTACTACTAATGTCATTTTTTATTAACAATCATACAAATTATAGTAGTTATTGGAAAATGTAACAGTTGTAAGCATAATTCAACAACAATGTTTATTAATTGCAAATGAATTTAGTTTAATAACCTTATGTTGTTTAGTAACAACTATAAAATAACAACATAATGTAACAACCATGAAATGTATGAAAACAATCCTATACCAAAATGTTTTTAACTTTTTACCAATTACCAATTAGGGCAGACGGATTTCAAAAGTAAGGGCATTAAGCTAATTGGATATGGAAATCATAGCACCACTCATTCATTTATTGAAAGGTTTAAAGTAAGATATAAATCAAATTGTAAAATTCAAGTAATAAGTTTTATTCTAGTTTAACACTGTTTGCTAGTTTGATTCACAATAAAAAATTATTCCAATTTTTGGTTTTTTAACATTGCTTCTATTGCTTGGTTAACTGATTTGTTGACTGCTTGATTGGTATAGGTTGTTATGATTCTTTCTTTCTTTTTCTTTTTTTTTCTTTTTTTTTTTTTTTTTTTTGCAAATAATTTGAAAAAAGCAAGAGTTCCTAAAGAAAACATATTAATGGGTTTGTTCCTAAATATATGTAATATTTTTTAGAACATGAGTTGTTTTTTTGGCTAAAAAAATGCAAGGTCTTTGTTTTGTAGGTAATATAGTAAATAGATAAATATAGTAAATAGGTAAATAGTAAATAATTTTTAAGTCCATTGAAATTTATCTAAAAGATTGTTTTATGTATTTTTATTTATCTAGTTTCTATAATTGTTCACTAATTTCATATTTTTGACGATAGTTGTATCATAATAAAAAAATTCTTTTATATAACAAAATTATAAAACTGAAATATGTCTTTTACTCTCTTCTAACCTTATAATCTCAAAACGCAAACTAAACAGATTGACTAAAATTGCCTTGATTAACAAACCTGCTGCTGCTACCTCCAAAGAACACTCATCCTTAGAAAAGTTAAATAAAGGAGAGCACTAAATAACAAAATGTTGATTGATTGAAACAGTGTTAAATAAAAGCCTATATCAAGGAGTAGTCAGATGACAAATAGATTTATTGCTACACATGGGTAGGTGTTGTACCTTTTGCAGTCTTTAAGCAATTTTGAGAATCAATAATATTCATCAGCACTGAGACTTACAACAAATAGCTCAATTAGATTTATTTTCACAACAAGCAAATAACAGTTCAGTTTAAAATCAGTTAACTGAATCAGTAAAATTTCAATGTATGTAACAACTTTTGTTTTGGTGTTGATTGTGTTTTGGCTTATTATCTGTTGATCCATTCATCACATTTTTTACTTTTACCTATTATCTTTTATCTTTTTTTCTTAGTTTTTCTCTTCTTGTTCATTTCTTGCAGCAAAATTTCTGATCATAATTATTCCTTTTTTCTTTTCCACAAGAACAGCTCTCTGGAGAACAAACGTTTTATTATCAATGCTAGAAATCGATGCAAAAAGTTATTTTTTTACGCTAGGCTCCATTCTCAGATTACTCAATTGTGTATTTTATCTAAGTAGGCTCTAAAAATTTCTGTATAAAGATCCATTAAGGATACATGGATCTGATTTAGTTGCCTCTCCCAATAATAAAGCAGTAACTAACTCTAATTCATCTCTTGAATTTAATGACTACACTTGTGCTTAATTTAACATTTTTATACAAACATTTTTATACAAACATGCATACATGCATACATACATACATACATACATACATACATACATACATACATACATACATACATACATACATACATACATACATACATACATACATACATACATACTTACATACATACATACATACATACATACATACATACATACATGCATACATACATACATACATACATACATACATACATACATACATACATACATACATACATACATATATACATACATACAATTACATACAAAGAAAATATTTGATACATAAAAGTCAGATTCACGTCTAAATGTATGAATTAATGAATATGAATATATGATGAATAGATGATGAAGTTTTTGTGAGATGGGAGTGAATCTGACTTTTAGGTTCTTGTAACATTGGAATGTGAATTTTGAATACTGCAGTGTAAAATTTTTGTGAGATGGGAGTGAATCTAACTTTTAGGTTCTTGTAACATTGGAATGTAAATTTTGAACACTGTAGTGTAAAATTTTTTACATTTTGCTTCTTTTATAGTTTATATTATTATTAGAAACCACCATATTCTTCCCTCTCAACTCTTTTGATGGATTTCAATGATTTTTCTGATCAAGATATGTTTCAACGTGCATTGAGAGGCATCATAAAGATATGTGTTTCTTTAATTTTTATAAGTTTTCGCCATTGTCTATTGGGTTTTAACATTTTCTATCCAGGATGTCCATTAGAAAGCAAGTATAATTTTTTTTTTTTTTCATTAAAAAAACTTAAATTTTTTTTTAACTTCGTTTTTTTAGTTTACTGTATTTATAATGTACTAAAGTTTACAAATGTAATATATCATGTCAAAATTTTTACACCCGTAAAAATTTAACATCTATAAAAATTTAATACTCATATTTAAAATGAAATTTAACTGCAAGAACACATTTGTCAATAAAACTAAAATAAAATAGTCGTAATTAGTAACAATAAAAAACCAAGAACCTAAAGCTCGTTAAAAGTAAAACTTTAAAGGTTTTTAATAAAATTGTTTAAAATTTTAGTTTAAATTTGTTAATATATTTGAGAATAAAAAATAATTAGAAAAAAAATTTTTTATGTACAATCATATGAAATAAAAATAAAATAATATGTAATCGAATATTTTCTTCACGTTAAGGAAATGTTTAAACGTTTAAACCTTTGTAGTTAGAATTTTTTTTATTAAATTAATTTACATTAGCTGCTCTATTTTTTTATTAAGTTACTCAGTGGCTAACATGGGTTATCGGTTTGAACAGACAATTTTACTTAATTTTACAATTTTATCTAGTTATATTTTTATCTTATACATTTTTTGTACAATAAAGTTTATTGTTCATTTTAATGTTTATTGATCCCAGATAACTTTTTATAAAAATTACAGATTCTCGTCTTCAAGTTCTACGAGCTTCCTGCGTTTCCAATACTATTGTATCAAATGTGCTCCAAACCATTAGCACAATGAGTTCCTTAACTTCTTTGGATATTGCATTAGTTAGTCGTCCAATCTCGGAATCACAACCATTCAAGCCGTTTTCGAAGCTTCATAACATGGTATGTATGAATTTATAAATTTTAAATGGTAATTTAACCAAATTGCAAATATATGTTTATCTTTTTACGTTGATATTATTAACATTTATTTTAAAAAGTATAAAAAGTTGATACACTTTACTTAAGTATTAACTATTGATTGTTAACGTACTGATTAATTTTTAATCGATATTAAATATTAAATTTTATTGTTTAAACTTATGTATTATAATTAATGAAAATTTATGTTAACTTATTCTTAAATTGATTTTTTTGAATTTTCTTTCTACTTTGTTTAAGTTGTGTTTGCCAAAGCTGACTGAACTAAAAATAGAAAGTTTAACTGCTACCGAAATATGGGACATAACTACTGTAGCACCATCTTTAAAAAGTTTATGTGTTTTTAATTCTAATGATATGATTCCTTTTGTCAGGTCTGTTTATCTTTTTGTTTACCTGTTTTATATTTTTTTATTATTTGTCAAATAAAATGTAATCAAAATTATTTATTTTTTAGATACTTATCACATATGCCATATTTACAAGAATTGGACATGTCCGGTTGCGACAATTTTGATACTAAAGTGTTGAGCGAGCTTTTCATACATATGGAAACAAACTGTTCTCTTGTCAATAAACTAACGCTTGTTGCGTGTTCTATTAAATCCCCTTTATTGGACAATATATGGACGACTTTAGGTAGCATCAAATTAATTTATTTCAATATGGATTTTAACGAACTTTCAGTTTTGGATAAAAATCGTTTGCGCGATTGGTGGCTAGGTTTACATGGAAACCAATCGCAATGCGCTATTGTTGATAAAAAGTGTACATTTGAACTTTTCTGAAAGTTTTATTGCGCATTTTTAAAATTCTTTGTTGTTGTTTTTTTTAGATTTTCCAATATGTCATTAATTTAATTCAACATTTCATGTTTATATTTTTTATTTATTATTTATTAACTTTTTAAAAAAGAAAGTAGTTTTTTAAATAATTAGAAAAATGTAGTTCTGCTTTTTTAAATATTAGATTAAAAATCAACAAAATCCATAAAGCATGGATTAGAAGAGGGATTAGAAGAGGGGGGGGGGGGGGAGGGCTAGGGCATTATATAGGTGGGGGGGGGGAAGTTCATTTAAAATAAAAGATTTTTTTTTTAAAGAATTTCTTAAAAATAAAAATCTTTGGTAAATGACATAAATTGGTGAATGAAAGAGACCTCATGCTTTAAGGTAGCCTCGGGCCCAAAAACGTTTTAATTCGCCACTAATTATAAGCGTTTAATTTTAACTAGAATAGAAACAGAGTTTTACGCGATAATATGATATATCAACTTGAAATATTTGCACTTTCTGTGATAACCCTAGTAACAAAGAAATTGCTGATATAATGAAATATTTTTTTACTTTAACTTTAAGTGTAGAATAAAATGCATAGTTTTTATCATAAAATAATAAAGTTTTTGTATGAAAATGCCATTTTTTTAAATAAAAAAATATTTTAAAAAACTATGTCGATTTTGAATATATATCATTTAAAGATATTTTAAAACATTTAAAAGCATTTTTTTTTTTTTTTTTCTGCAAAATAAATTTAAAAATCATGGTTTAATTTCTAAATAAATCATTAGTTTATTTGGATATTCGTCGGATAAAGTTATAAAAATTAACGGGACGACTGAATAAGTGCGAACTGGTTTAAATTGGTATTTCGCATTTATACCAATTTGCACTTATGCCAATATTTGCAAATTTATTCGGCGCACTTATGTCAGTTTGCACTTATGCTAGTTCGCACTTATGAAATTTGCGCTTTTTTAATCGCCCCTTCGCACTTATGCCAATTTGCAATTATGCTAATGTTTGCAAACTCTTTTGGCGCACTTATGCCAGTTTGCACTTATGCTAATTCGCGCTTATTCAGCCTCCCGAAATTAACGATACTATACCATCCGATATTAAAAACGAAAATATGCATGCCTAACTAGTAGTGAACAAAATAACCTAAAGGAATGTAGCAGTTATCAAATAAAGTGGTAGAACCCTTTTTTAAGGTGGTAGTACCCTTTTTTAAGGTGGTAGTACCTTTTAAAAGAAAAAAAATTTAAATCTTGATATTATATGGGAACATTTATGTTTTTCTGAAATGTTAAATTAAATCATTTCAAAATATAACAAAATTAATTTTTTTTACCCCCTGCTCAATATTTATGCGCATAAATTAGCATAATTTAAGCAAAAAATTGATCTTTTTTTAACATGAATATCTTGAGAATCAAACATGTTCTGAAAACCAAATTTTATAAGTATATTTATACATGTTCAAAAAATGTGCTACAAACAAATGTTTCTACAAACTAAATTTTATAAGTAGATTTATACATGTTTAAAAAATGTCCTGATTTAAAAATTATACAATAAACGACGTTTAATAACTTTAAAACATTTTATCAATAAAAGGAAAAAGTATAAGTACAGCTTGCTAAATTTCAAATTTTAATACTTTAATATAAAAAAAAATAATTTTCTTTGGTTTAGCACATTACAAATACACTCAAGAATAATTGCTGAAAATTTGAAAAAAATCCAATGAACGGTTAAAAAGTTATCTTTGTTAAAAAATAAAAGATACACAAAAAGTTAAACGCTTGAAAAACGCAATTTAAAAAAATAGTAAAAGTACATTAAGTTTTTACATAATCAAACCTACTAAAAAGTACCACTGTTGTATGCAACATCTTCTGCTTCATTATGTTAGTCAATAAAAGAACCAGGACTGTCCTCTTCGGGATGGCCCTGGTTCTTTGAGGCTTTGTTTGTACTCACTCTGAAGGTTTCAAAATAAGCAACAGGAAGTTTATTATTAATGTTATGGTTGCCACGTTTATTCATACCAAAAGGCATAAATAACAAAAAGTATTAATTGCTAAGTATCCTTGCCTAATTTTTCAAAAAGCTAACACAGTACGTAGTTTTTCTTTTTAAATCTTTTCTACCTTTTTAAATCTTTTCTACCTTTGATTACTTCATTTTTGTTTTCTATTCATTTTGAGGTAAAAAAATTCATGGTAAAATCTTGAGAAGAAGTGTGAGAAAGAAATTTTTGATTAATGTCGTGTACAATATCGTGTACAATATCGTGTACAATATCGTGTACAATATTGATTGACGAATAACATTCTAGAGCATCTTTCGATTGCTTTCAACAAACTTGAAAATAAATTTGATTTTATAATTGTATTACACTCTTTTTCTATATCATAAAGTTTTCTACATCTAGATAAGTTTATTATTTTTCCAGATACCGATTAACTTACATTGTTTGGCTTTTTTTTTTTTTTTTTTTTTTGATTTTTTTTTTCATTATTATAAGAGTAGATATAATAAGTTTATTAAAATTGTAAAAACTGAAATTTTGAAAAAAAAAACTTTTAGCCTGTTGGGGTACAACCACCTTAAAAAAAAGAAATGGTGACTACTTTTATAGCTTATTCAACTGTCTTATATATCAAATAAAAACTTTATTTAGTATTATTCTTCAATTTAAAGCATTTGAATATTTGAAATAAATAATTTTTAAAAATTTTTCCTTAACATAATAATTACTAGTTTAACAAGACTAATTTAACTTTAGACGTAAGAAAGAAGTCAGCGGTAGTGACCCCTCCCCCCCTCCTTCCCCCCAAATTGCTTGAATTTTTTATGCTTATCAGAGTACAGAGAAAACTTGCTGGGAAAAAAAAATATTTAAAAAATATTTTGTTCATTCGGAATCCGGGTTTAAAATTTTAAGATTTTTTGAAAATTTTTTATAAATATAGTTTTGTCACCTTTAAATTTCTCTGAAAATAATAATGATATGAGTGATAGTACTCTTCAAATTAATCTTCACTATTAATTAGAAAAGAAACATCTACTTAATAGACTAACTTTTTCAGTTTGATATTTTATCTCCTCGGGAGTATATGGTTAGCCAAAAATATTCCTTTTCTACCCGTTATTCATACATTTAACACGTATCGCAGACGTAGATACCTAAAAATGTTAGCCCATCTTTTTAAAACTGTATAATTTATGATTTGTGTAATTTTTTTTACCTTTAGCAAAACTTATGTAATGTTTCAGTCTAATTACTTTTAAATTTTACTTATACTTCTTGTATAGTTTTTAATTACTTCTTGTATACTTTTTACTTATACTTCTTGTATACTTTTTATCTACTTCTTGTATACTTTTTATTTACTTCTTGTATACTTTTTATTTACTTCTTGTATACTTTTTATTTACTTCTTGTATATATACAAGAAGCAATAAAAAGTATACAAAAAGTATAAATAAAAAGTTTACAAGAAGTAAATAAAAACTATAGTTTTTATTTACTTCTTGTATACTTTTTATTTATACTTCTTGTATACTTTTTATTTATACTTTTTGTATACTTTTTATTTACTTCTTGTATACTTTTTATTTACTTCTTGTATACTTTTTATATACTTTTGTATACTATTTATACTTCTTGTATACTTTTTATTTTAGAGCATTGTTTTACAAAAAAACTTGAAAACAAAATATATGCTTTGAATAATATTACTTTCACAGCATATCCAATATTCCACTGTTTTGCATATACAACAACAACCCAATCACTTACTTTTCATCATAGGCTAGTCCAGACCTTATTTGCAGGTCATGTATAACAGTGGCATATTTAGGGAGAGTAGGTTCCTGCACCCCCATTACCTCCTCTAAAAAATATTAGGTGTCGGTTTAAGGATATGACCCCCAAATTTCTTAATAAGCTTTATCATTATTATCTAATAATGGTTAAATCGGTTTTACTTTTTTTACTAAGAATAAAAAACGATATTCCTTTTATTAGATAAATAATTAACTAGGCAACATGAAATTGTATTTAGTATTTTAAAATATAATTTGTAATTTTTTTTTTTTTTTGTAAATTGTTACAAGTTTAATATTTTTATAATTATGAATGGTCTTAATATATATTATAATTTTAAACGTCGTTGTGTTGGTATCATCATTTTAAACTCCTTAATAACTTCATCATCCACGTTCGCATGAACAAGTTGTTACCAGAATAGTGGTAAAATGTACTATGACAGTATAAAGAAAACTACAAACTCTAATATTTGAATTTAGAAAATCAATCCATTGATGAAGTGTTTTAGAAGTGGTTCCAGATGGTATGTTAGGTATATTTTTAAGTAACATAATTTCAATTTGATTTTGCTCACTATCAATTCCAAATACATTATTCAAATACAATAAATCTTCTTGAGATGGCTCAAGTTCTAATATATTCGTAACAGCAAGTATAAGTTTTAATGTTTTCTGATTTAAACGATCATTCAAAACAATTAAGAAGTCATCTAAAACAAAATTAAAACTCGTAACTTTCCTATCTACTTCTTTCATACATTAAAAATATTGATTCTCTGATACTTGATCAATTTTGGAAGAAATTTTTCTTTTTTTACTTGAGAAATGATTACTCTAGTTTCTGTACAACACTCAACTATCAGATTATAAAATTTTTTTTATAAGTTATCTAATCTTAATTGAGATTATTTTTTACTGTGCGACAGCTCCAAATCGACACGCCCATCGTGTTGTAGAAATAGATTTTAGAGTTTTACGAGTTAAACTTATTTTTTTGGTTGCTTTTTCTAATGTAGAGTGTCGAATATAACTACTTTCTATATATATATATATATATATATATATATATATATATATATATATATATATATATATATATATATATATATATATATATATATATAAATATATATATATGTATATATATATATATATAATAAAATGTCTACACGTGATATCGGAGAGTTTTATTT